AGGAACCTTTACAAAGTTCGAACATTACAAATTATTTAACTTCAGTGGATTCTCATCGGACATACGTATTTTTACGAAAACATTACCTAACTTCAACTGTGGAAACCTAGCGTATGTGGCCAAGGACGAAGCTAGCTAGCTTCCCGGCGAATCGTACTTACATCAACTTAGACTGGTGAAGACTGGTTCTTGCTGCTGCACTTACTCGTTTGTTGGTACCTCTCTATGTTTGTTAAATTCTCCAATCACCATTGGCACCGTTGACCTACTTGTTAATTTGAGTTGACCACCAATCATTCGTTGTTTAATTGTGGTGATAGCACTTCCTTCTTGTGGCGAATCTGACAAGTTGTCTCAATTTTGTTTCTTTTGGCAGCAGCATTCATAGTGATAGTCACTCTTTTCTTGTTTCTTTCCAGCACCACCTTTGTAGATAGTTCCAGATGCTTTATGTTGATATTTCTGCTGTTGTTTGTTGGTGACAGACTTGCACCCATTTGCAATGTGATCCATTTTATAATATCTCTTCTCCCTTTTGTCTGTTGACTTCTTGTCACCTTTGGTGGCATCCTGCTTCTGGTCAGCCATCCCTGGTTTCGACTTTGACTGTTTATTCTTGGACTTGCCAGTTATACTCCCTCCATGGGTTTCTATATATATTGTTTTGTCAGTTTCATCATCTCATCCATGTCTTTTGGTGCTCTCTTTCTTAGAAACAATGACATGTCAGTCAAATACGTGATCATGAACTGTTCACGTATTAGTAGATTTGCCAATCCTTCAAAAATAGCTTTACACATGGCCATGTCAGTCCACCTTGTAAAGTATCACAATAAATGTGCCACAAACTGAAATAAAGTTTCTCCAGTGTCAGGTTTGACTTTTCTGGACTTCCAGCAAAAACCTTCTTTGGTAAGTTCATAGCATTTCAGCAAGACAATTTTTACTTTTCATAGTTCATAGCATCTTCTGATGTTCTGCCCATATACACTTGTAGGCCTTTTCCTCTGAGAAGTGGCATGAGACAGACTATACTGTCGCCTTTGTCTCATTTCTGAATTTGGGCAAATATTTCATACCTCTTCAGGAAGGCACCCATATCGTCTTTCTATTAATCAAATTTGGTCAGCTGGCTTTTATCCCATTGTCATTCTTGGGTCCTCATTTTTCTGTTTGGTGAACTTGGCAATCTGAATTTGAGCTCATATTATCTCTATTTCCAGTCTATCCTTTTTCTCCTCTTTTCTTCTTTCTCATTTTGTGCTCTTAATCTTTATTCCTTACTTCTCAGCCACCCCTTCTCTCTCTTTTGTTAACACTCTTCTCTCTCTAGGTCTTGTTGTTGTTTAACAAACTCTCGTAGATCGCCATCTTTATACCCAAGTCGCTAGCCCCTCTCTACCCACTTATCAGTCGACATGGTTATATAGTGTGGTTCTGACCTCTACAATATTTTCTCCACTACTAAAGCTGTGCATATATAAGCGTATTTGCTGCTGTTGTTTATTTCTACTTGTACCTCCGTTTACCATTGTAGATATTGACTGACTTGTCACTGTAAATTTTTATGAATGTGCTAGATTCTTTACAGTAGGTATCTGTATCTTGTTTGTGGAAAATTTCAACAATAAACAAACAGCACACAGTCCACTTGTTTTAAAACATGTCAAACATATTGTTAGGACAGCGGAAGTCACGTGACCCTAGTAACACGTCTAGAGATTCTAGAAGGATCGGGGAACATCACGAATAATCCAGTATTTGCTAGGCATCCTCTATTACTGTATATACAGTGTAAGTGCGCCAGATAACGTGAGACAATTAATCGGAATTAGATTTGCACACAGAGATAGAGATGGACAATTGAGTCAAGCGCAGTAGTAGGTAAAGCGCGTGAATCGTTCGTTGTGAATTATAGCATGTGTTTAAGTTAAAATGACTGTGGAAATTAAGTGTATTGCAAAGTTGTATTGAGAAATAATAAACTAGTTTTATTTAAGAAAGGATTTGTATCGCTGAAGTTTTTCGGAAAGAATTTCTACGAAAATTAATAAACTAACACAGAGACGTAACAAATTGGTGTCAGAAGTGGAATGAAAAATAAATCTAAAAAGAAGAAGAAGAAGATCGAAACGAGATGTGACAAATTAAACTACAGCTCAGCAGATTTGATGACAGCAATACAAAAACAGCAAAATAAACAAGAAGAGAAGCAACAGCAGTGGCAAGAAAACCTGCAACAGTGGCAGGTCGAACAGCAAAATAAGCAAGAGAGATTACAGCAGTTGTTGGAGGAAAAAGAAAGGAAACAAGAAGAGAGGGTACAGCAGTGGTTGGAGGAGAAAGAAAATAAACAAGAAGAAAGACTACAGTACTGGTTGGAGGAGTAAGAAAATGAACAAGAAGAGAGACTACGGCAGTGGATGGAGGAAAAAGAAAATAAACAAGAACAAAGTCTCCAAGAATTGAGAGAAAGCCAGAGTACACAAATGGAAGACATTAGTAAATTTCAAAGCGAATTAAATACATTAAAGGATGATTTATTGTCTTTTACACAAGGAGGATATATTAACCATCGACTTAATCAGCCCCAGACAATAGTAAGCCCCTTCCAGACCCCGCAGCTAAACCCTAAAGCAGATATTTTCACTCCTGTTAGAAGGCACATCCCAGATATGAATGTCAGCAATAGGGGTGATCTAGTACGAAGGAAGCCACAGCAATTTGATGGGAAAGCACCGTGGGAAGCATATAGAACACAATTTGAGCTCCTGGCAGAGATGAATGTACAGAATGAATGGACAGAGGAGCAGAAAGCAGTATATCTGGCAACGAGCTTGAAGGGACAACCACTGGAAATATTTGGACAGTTATCAGCAGACGACAGTCACAACTATAGAGCACTGGAATCTGCTCTAGAACTCAGGTATGGAACCCAAAATTAGTCTAAAGTCTACAGAGCTAGGATTAGGACGAAAGTCCGTGCTAAAGGGGAGAGCCTGCAAGAGCAGGCACAGGATTTGGAAAGTATGGCACACAAGGCCTACC